TCTATACAACGTGGTGATCCCAGCTCCTTGGGCGTACTTGGGGGACTGGGAGTAGAAACTGTTGCTACTGGGCCCACTCACGTTATTTCCCCTGACACTTGAAATCAGGATATGGGGGTTCCTTGGGCTCTACTAATATCTGAATGGATTTGTGCAAACTCAAGTATGGAGGACGGTCATCTTCCACCGACTCAGGGAAAAAAAAGCAGGGGAAGTTCATGTGCAGGAAGGAAGAAGCGAAGATGTGAGAGGAGAGAGGTGGGAGACCATGCGGGTTCTGGAAAGGGGAGCCAGAGACATGTCTCCGGAGAGCTTTCTGGGCCTTGGTTCTTCTCTCCTGGCCACGGATTGGTTTGGGAGTCATCCAACGGCTGGATTCAGGTCCACGAGAGAGAGAGAGAGAGAGAGAAATTTCCAGGTCTCTTGTTGGAGATATCAGAAGATCTATTCTTTCTTCCTTTGGATGGTTCAGCCTGAAAATGTGAGATGTCCTAAAAATAGCAGAATCTGGAGCAGCCATAGGACCACTCAATAAACTCTGAAGAAGTAAGAACGGAGAGGCGGAAAGAAAGCACGTGCTTGGGTGACATTCTGCAAGCAGCTAAATCAAGCCTTACCCGAGGGGGGAATGCCCACAGATTTTCAGTGATGTGAGCAAAGAGATAATAAGTCCTCTGAATTGTTTAAGGAATCTAGAGTTAGGCTGCAACCAAAAACATCCTCACTGACAGCTATCTCTTTAAGCATAGCTTGCTCCTTTTTTAGGGGTGCCTGAAAGAGGGACCTTCAAGCCATGTGCCATTGAGAAGGACCTAACTCCCAAAGCAACTTCTACAGGCTCTGTTGGCACTTAAGGGGTGTTCACAGATCCTCCTTGAGCCCCTTTGGTTATAGAAATCGTGTGTCTGAATCCTCCAAAAGAACCTATTAGATGCCCTACACGAGCAAATACTCAATACATTTGCTGATGGACTAGACATTTTCATTTTTAGTTATCGAAAATCCTTCCTACAGTTAGGTCTCTAAATTTGAAAAAGCAGGCACGATCAAACAGAGTAAGTATCTTGGGGCTCCTTCTGGGCTCTTACAGCCCCCCTAAAGCTCAGAAACTCATTTACCTTACCTCTCTGGCCACTGATACACTCAGCTCTCAGCTGCAGCGCAATACTGACCGGAGGGCTCAGCCTGCAGGATTTAGAAATGATTTGGAACTTTCCAAAAGTGACTAGCAGACAGCAGAGCCTGTGAGAGCTGATCAGATAATTCACTGGATTCTTTTCCCATCGCTAGCTTATGCAAAGGGAGTACGAGCTCTGTGTTATGGATAAGGCAAATTGAGGCCCAGGGCGGTGCCCAACTCAGCGACGGAGTGACAAGACCAGCACCAGCGAGAGCACTCGCATCTGATGCTGTGCCAAGTTCTTAAATCACCTTTGTGAGTCCCATATTATCCACCTGCCTACACACCTAAAAATAGGACTGGAGGCTCCTGAGGGGCCAAGAGGAACAGCCCAAAAAAAAAAGGCCAGGAGCATTTTAAAATTAGGAATCTAGTTTAAATGATCAGGATATGCTTCGCAGCGACACAGTGCAGGGACCTCATTAGTGACTGACTTCAAGAGTTAGGAGAATTGCCCAGAAATGAATACAGATCCTTCTACAGTTCCACAGGTAGAATCAAACACTATGAATAAGTATGCAAATGAGCAGGTGCCCATATGCCCGGGGTCTAAAGAAAATAAATCATGAAGTTATTCTAGCCCTGGCAGGGTAGCTCGTTTGGTTAGAGCATTGTCCCAGTATGCCGAGGTTGCAGGTTCAACCCCCAGTCAGGGCACACTCAAGAACCAACCAATGAATGCATAAATGGGTGGAACAACAAATCAATGTTTCTCTCTCTCTTAAAAAAAATCAGTATATAAAAGGAGAAGCTATCTTAAGATAACTTTCAATAAATGTTTTTTCCCTTTATTAGCATTCAGTTCAGTTTAGCTCGACAAGTTTGTTGAGCACCTACTGCATGCTCAGCCCTGGGCACTTCATTCACATTCGTATGACAGCTGTCATTGCATTAGTTTCTCAAGGCTGTCACAACAAGGCACCATGAACTGAGTGAGTGGTTCCACGAACCGCGTGGTTTAAACGAAAGGATTTTATTCTGTCCAGGTTCTGCAGGCCAGAAGTCACACATAGAGGCGTCTTCAGAGCCACATTTCCTTGGAAGCCTCTAGGAGAGAATTCGTTCTTGCCTCTTCCAGCTTCTGGTGGCTTCAGGTGCTCCTTGGCTTGTGGCTGCATTACTCCAGTCTCAGCTCTATCTCCATGTGACCTTCCTCTGTGTGTGGGGTGGCGGGGAGAGGGGAGGTCCTCTCTATGTCCTCTCCTTGTCCTGTAAAGATACCAGCCATTGCATTTGGGGCCCACCCTCAATCCAGGATAATTTCACCTTGAGATCCTTCACTAATTACATCCACAAACAAGGTCGAATCTGAAGTTCCAGGTAGACATGAATGTGTGGGCTGTGGGGGGACCCCCTGTATTCAACCCACTATACATGCTGTCTCACTCACAAAAGCATGAGCGAGTGATGCCAATCTCACCAAAGCTTTCGAAAGGGAGGAAGAGGAGGAGGTTTAGCTTACTCAGCCCCCCTCGGACACCTTGTCCTCCCTCGGTTGCAGATGGGGCTCCTGGAGAGCAGACTGTGCGGTGGAGGTTTGCATGAAGGGTGTTTATCAAAGAGTGCCCTGGGGACTCCAGCCCTTGGGGAAGCGGTGGGGGGAAGAACACGGGGCTGGGAAAAGTTGAGCTGTGATGCAGCCACACCAAAGGCTGAGCCCCACGAAGAGTTCTCGAGCCGGGATGGCCCTTCAGAGCCTTATTTCCTCCATCAGTTATTGGATGTGAGCTTCCCAGGAAAGGGGTGTGACCTCGGGAGAAACAGCTCTCCTTAGGAAAAGCGGTCCCCAAGGGAGGTTGACAGCTGGGGGCTGCCTGTCAGCAGTACTCCCAGCAGCCAGGGGAGTAAGTCCTTTATCCTCAAAGACGACTTGGGCCGTAATGACCATGTCTACCACGCCTCCTTAGTCACCTCTTTCCACTGCTGCCCTCAGCCGGTGCTCCCTTTTTCTCTTGCTTTCTCACAGTGTCAAGGACTCTTGACATTCCTCCCTCCACCCTGCACCAAAGCTGCTTTCTTCAGACTTGAAGGTGCAAACCCATCCGCAAAGAAGAGGTCTGAGAGTTACCTCTAACGTTGCCTCCTTAGAAGGGACTGAAGGGAGTAATAAAGGGCAACCGAAATGTTGGTTCATGTGGGCAATCGCCTAACGGAACGAGTGCTGGGTTTTACGTGAGAATGCACAGGTTTAGGGGCTGGCTCCACCCATCACTGTGTGACCCTGAGCGAATCACTAGTCTGTAAGACTACAGGGCAAAGACCATGCCTGTTGTGGCTTGGTTTTGGCTTTGGTTCTTTCTCAATTACAGTTGACGTTCAATATTATATTATATTATATTATATTATATTATATTATATTAGTTTCAGGTATCCAGCATAGTGGTTAGACGTTTATATAGCTTACAAAGCAATTCCCCCCAATAAGCCCAGTACCCACCTGGCACTATGCATGGCTGTTATAATATCACTGACTACACTGCCTATGCTCCACTTTATCCCTGTGACTGTTTTGTAACTGCCGATTTGTATTTCTTAATCCCTTCACCTTTTTCACCCAGACTCCCAGCCCTCCAGGTCTCTCAGTCTGCTTCTGGTTGTTGTTGTTGTTGTTTTTAATTTTTTATATATTGATTTGAGAGAGAGAGAGAGACTGATTTGTTGTTCAACTAATGTATGTATTCTGCCCTGACTGGGAATCAAACTCGCAACCACGGCATATCAGGACGATGCTCTAACCAACTGAGCTACCCAGCCAGCACTGACGTTATCTTATTAAGAGCAGGGATCTTGGCCTTGACCCTTGTGGCTCAGTTGGTTGGTCATTGTCCCATGGAGCCAACAGTTGCTGGTTTGAATCCTGGTCGGGACATGTGCCCGGTTTGCGGTTTCAGTCCCTGGTTGGGGTGCTTAGGAGAGGCAGCCAATGGATGTTTCTTTCTCCCTCTCTTCCCCTCTCTCTAAAAATACATTTTAAACAACTTCAGAGCAAGGACCTTGGATGTCTCCTTCACCACTGGAACCCAGACTCCCAAATCAGTGCCCGAAGCACAAGTCAGCATCCCATAAATGTCTGGTGAGTGAAGGACTTACAGGCTCTGCCTCCCTCTCCAGATATGAGCACTCCACTCCGTGAAGAGGGAATACTGTCTCTATAAACTTGAGACGACAATGAATTTCTGCAGGAGACACATTTTTCACGTTAAATAAATGGATCCAGAAATTAAGTGCATCTGGCAGCCATGTGTCAAGGAAGTGCTATTTTTAACAAAGGGCTCGCAGGGTCACCGGTCCAGCTGATCCACTTCACAGCCTCACCACAGATGCCCAGCAAACACACTGTACTCACGGCCAAATTGGTTTTTGCACATTACTACGCTAGAGCTAATACACAATGTCCTAACAGTTGTGTGTAGACGTAGCTTCACAAGCAAAATAACGTTTAACGCAGGCTTTAGAAATTTCTAATTTCAGAAGAATTGTAAGCTCATGGAAAATTTGGAAAATAGAGAAAAGCAAAAAGCAAAAAAAGCAAACTCTAATCTTCCAAAGAGTGAAACATTTTGATGGATGGACTTTCCAGTCTTCTCTATGAATGTTTGAAAAACAAGCCAATTATCAAGTGTTTGGGAGTCGAATTTTTCCCTTTGTAGCACATGATACCTTGTGAACTGCTTAGAATAGCATAGTACATGTGAGTGTGTGGTGTGTTTGCATGTGCGAGGCCAATCCGGAAATATCTGACAATTAAAATGCCTATCTCCTTTGACTTATCAGTTCTGTGTACTCTGGGAATCTATAAAAGTTGAGTTACAGAATTAGTAAGTTCAGAAAATACGTAATTAACTTGTGTCAAAGGCTTGTGATGCGTTGTGATAGCTGGGTTTAAGAAGCACAATATTAAAACAAAAGCCACGAGTCTAAGCCCAGCGTGTAAAGACACACACTGAGTTATAACTCAGCGGCACAACTGGAAAAAAAAACATGTAATAAATTATGTATTTTAACTGTTGTTAAATATTGCCCAGTTGCCTTCCAAAAGGATGTGATTGGCCGGAGGCAGAGCCCGGACACCAGCAGGATGAGGCTTCCCCACCTCAGCACCACTGACATTTGGGACGGGATAATTGTTTGCCGCAGGGAGCTTTTCCGTAGAATGTTTAACAACATCCTTAACCTCTACCCAGGGGGTGTCAGTAGCACCCTCCTTCCCAGCTGGGACAATTAAAAATGTCTCCAGATAACGGCCAACCACCCACGGGTGTAAAATTCGCCTTTACCTCCCCAACACCCTACCTGGTTGAAGAACCACTTATCTTCTGCTTTTAACTCCCCACGTGACTGTAACACACAAGCAAGGTCAAGAACCACTGGGGTGAAAAACGCTGCAGCGAATGCTTCTAAGTAGCTCATGTTGCAGACATCTCTGAGGATTTCCTTAGGATAAACTCAGGAGGTTTGCCCATCTTAAGACTTTGGACATAATTTTGCCAATTTACCCTTCAGAAGGGTTGTACTATTTACTCTGTCATCATCAGTGCCTTAGAGCGTCCTCTCCCCATCCCCGCAGTCAATTCTGAACAATATCATCATCTTTTTCAACTGCTCTTACAGGTGAGCAACGATATCAGGTTTAAAAGCTAACGTCTTGTTGTCTGCATTAAATAGGAAACCTATGAAGAGTGTACCAAAGGTGACACTGAGATCAATTGTCACCATCATACTAGCTGGCGTGCAAGCCTGCAGGGTTCGAATAAATTCCTTTGCCGCCCTAGCACCAGCGCTGTGCTGGTAAACACTGAACAGCTGGCTCTCCGGGAGGTTCAACAAAACAACAACAAAATCTATCCCTCCTCCCCCCCACAAAAAGTCTGATTTCTTATGTTTGTCCGTGTTTGTGGTATAAATATGCTCACAGTGGCTAATTTCAAGTTATCACTGTGATGCCATTGGACATGAAGTTGGGGAGAGATTACACACGTAGTTGGCTCCTGGCGGCTGGTAGGGTCTGGCTCCAGCCCATTATAGCCTTGTTCTAATGTGGAAATGACTGCACAGTCCGGACCCAGGTCCTATGTCTAACTGTGAGAACTTAACTTATTCCCGTTAGATTGGATCTATGTTAGCGAAGTGGACCACAAGCAACTAAGTGATGCATTTGGCCTGTGCAATGAAAATTCCGAAAGGGAACAAAGATGACAGGTGAAGACAGGGGTGTATGCGTTCGTTCACAAACTCAGGTGAAATCTGAAACTGGCCCCTGGACATGAAGGGCAAGGAGAGACCCAAGAAAGAGGCAAAGGAATACAGGCGGGCAGGCGGCAGGTTTAATAAACAAGAGAACCCACACACAAGACTTGTCCTGAACAGCCACAAGAGGAGCAGGTCTCCTCAATCAACTACCAGAATCTCAAAAGTTTATATAGAGGCTGTAATTGGATCCAGTCACATACCCAGGACAGATGGTCTCAACCACACATTGCTCTCTCAAGGCTATGTCCTTGACAATGGCTTCTACTGTGGGAACAGTGGGCAGACCACACATCCCAAGGACAGGCGAGGGGACACGAGACTCCAGTTGCCCTGGGCCAGCTCGCTGGTCAACCAGCAGTCACGTCCTCTCGGCTACCTCTGCCAACACCATGGCATCCAAAAAAGTTATTCTACGCGCCCGATTGCCTAGAATATGATCAGCTCACCACTTTGGGTTGTATAGCCTGACTTCAGAGAGTCTCTCTTTGACTTTGACACTTGCAAGACATCAGCCTTGAGCAGCTCCCTTAAATGTCCATGCCTTATTTTTATCCCATGAATTGAGGAAGAAAGAGGTATATTATTTCACAAGAGGGCTATGCAAAGCAGTCCCTAGACATCAAGGATTACAGCCGGGCCTTCTGCCCCGCTGATTAACGTGAAGCTGCTGAATGATAAGTCAGCCAATTCCAGCTCTGCCCACTCAAGACAATTTCAAGGCCTTAATAATCATCGTGACTTGCACAGAATAGAAATGCATGACTTGACTTGCTAAGCGGTTTCCCACTGACAGCAGTCAAAATAAGAATGAGTTTTCCTCCTTCCCGAGACAAAAAAAGCAACATATAAGTTCAGCTACCAGAGAGAAGATGACCTATTAACTACAGTACACATTCACCGCCCCTGTTCAGGGACTGATTAAACAGTTTAAGAATTTCCTTAAAGAACCAGGAGTTCTCTCCTGACTGCAAAGCAGAATCACCTAGGGAGGCTTTAGAAAATACAAGGCCTGGGCCACACCCTCAGAGATTCCCCTTCAAGAGGTTTGGGGTGGGGGTGTCTAGTAATCTGTAACTTTTCAGCTCTCTGGGTAATGCTAATGTGCAACCAGATCTGAAAACCAAGGACCTAAACTTGAACCTGCTTCGGAATCACTTGGGCATGCAGGGGCCTGGCTCCTGCCCAGAGATTTTAATTTGGTGTGCTTGGCCGGGGGGCTGGAATCTGCAGGAATTCTCCTGCCCTCGTCCTCAGTTATTGTTAAGGTTTTTGCTTTGTTTTGTTTTGTTTTGTTTTGTTTTGTTTTACACTGCCCAGTCGTATTTGCAACCCGGGTAGAAGAAGAAAGAGAAAGCATCTGACGTTTGAATCCATCGGTTGTGCCGATGGTCCGAAGCCCATTCAGGGAGCTGGGCGAAGCTGTCGACTGTAAAGAGGTTTGGAATGAGCCGTGGAGCACACACATCTGTGCTGTCAACCTAGCGGGACACACACACAAGCTCCCGCACGAGTTGCTACTAGTTAGCCGGTATGTCTACACTGACTGTTAAACTGTTGAACTATGTCCATAGCAGTCAGTGAATAGTTGCTCCTTGCAAGACCTATACCTCTCCTCCACCCCCATGCTACTGTGAGGACCCTGTTCTTGCTGGAGAGGCTCTCCCCACAAACCAGGCACAAGAGTGTCTCAACCTCTGAGCTCTGGTGGGACTGGTCAGCGTGCCACTCTGTACCAAAGACATGGAGCATCCCGTCCACCCATCCCTCTCTACAATAAACACGTGAGGCTGGAGGTTTGTCCAGAGTGGTGTGGAGGTGTAAGAGAAGGGAATGATGAACTCTTCCTAGAGAGGTCAAAAGACCGATATGAAAAATAAATAGCTTTTGGACTGAACCCCCAAAGAGGAGGAGGTCTTCAACAAGGAGGGAAAAGAAAGTATTTTAGACGTGGAGCATTAGCAAAAGGTACAAGGGTGTAAACTGAGGTAAGGAGTAGTGGGTAGCTGACACCACTACAGGACGGGACAAGAAGTTTTAAAAGGTCAGAGTTTCATCAGGAAGACCGTGTTATATTTATCCAGTATTACAGTGTTTCTGAAAATAAGCTCCAACAAGAACTGCCCCACAAAGAAAACCTGGATGTTTGTGGTTTAAAATGTGGATTCCAGATCACCATCCAATAGTAAGTGAACTGGAAGCTCATCCCTGCAGTGGGACCCAGGCATGTGTACTTTGAACAAACTTCTCCGTTCAAGACTCACTGTTAATGTGGACAGTGCGGGGGTGGTCCCAGGATTGAGTGGCGGTGGGATACCATGAGATTGCCATGCTGGGAAAACGACTCCGGAAAAAGACAGAGACAGGAAGGCTCCCATCTGGAAGCTGTGGGAGAATCCCAGGCAAGGGATTCTGGGAATGGGAGCTGGGAGCTATACCTGGGACAGACGTGGGAGGTGGTGTTGGCAGGATATGGTGGTTGATGGGACACGGAGAGCAAAGGAGAGGAAGGAGTCACAGATGACCCGAGGTTTCTCTGTTCGAGACTGTCTGGGGAGTGCGGCAAATAAGGACACAGGAGCAAAAGCAGATCTTAAGAGCAAAGCAGTATGTTCAGTTTTAGACTTGATACACTTGAGATGGCTCTGGGACAGCCTGTGTGGATATTCTGCGAGTTACTAAGTGCTCAGGTCTGCCATCAAAAAAGGTGATAGGGCCCTGGCTGGTGTAGCTCAGTGGATTGAGCATGGACTGCAAACCAAAGGGTCGCCAGTTCGATTCCCAGTCAGGGCACATGCCTGGGTTGCGGGCCAGGTCTACAGTGGGGGACGCGTGAGAGGCAACCACACATTGATGTTTCTCTCCCTCTCTTTCTGCTTCCCTTCCCCTCTCTCTAAAAATAAATAAAATATTTTTTTAAAAAGATGATAGGGCTGAAGACGGAGACCTGAGTGTCATAGGCAAGAGCTGAAAAAATAGAAATGGGTGAGTTCACTCCAGGCCAACTTCTCCAGCAGGCCCAGCAGGCCCAGCGCCTGGGGCCCACGAAAATGTTTCAACTGCTCTTAATGCAAAAGAAAAATAACTATAATGATAATAATGAACCAACCTGGATTACGTGCATCTTTAAACCCACACAGTAGTAATATAATTTTTAATATCTTTTTTGGAGGAGGGGCCCCAGGGGCACAAGTATCTCGGACTCACAAAAGTCAGAACTCTGGGATTTTGCAAAAGTTTCACACCTTTCCTGTGTATGGAGTCCCTTTGGCAGTCCTGTGTGGTCCTGAGGGACCTTTCTCAGAATAATGTTTCTAAATGCCTAAAATAACACACAGGATTACAAAGGAACCAATTACATTGAAATACTTCTAACAACTAATCTGGGATCAAGTAATGTGTGTGTGTCTTTATTAACGCACTAAATAATAAGACTCAGCAGCAACTCTAAAAACTGCCATAATTTTAAAGTAGTGGTGAGCATTAGCTTTGAGATATCAGCCACAGCTATGCATGTGATATGCAAATATCTCTGCTTCCACTGGTGAAAAAGTCACAGGCACCAAGAACACTCCTGTATTTTGGTGCCTGTGTTCCTAATGGAAGGAGAAATGCTGACTTTCCATTAGAACTTGGTGAAAATAAGGAAATAATTTTTCCTCCAGCCAAGCTCACGGATGCCTGAATTCCATGCACAGTCCCCTGGGGGTCTGAATTCCCAT